AGGGAATAGGAAAAAATGGGACGAGAGACACATGCAGCACATGCACCTGTGACAGTGTAACAGCAGCTCACCGTTGTTTGGTCCATGCCGCACCCCGCAGTTGGTACCGTAGATGGACGAAATATTCAAACCATTGCTATCCGACACAACCCCCTTGCCCCCAAAGTTCAATGTTAATGTAGCTTGAGGTGCATGGGCCCCAGTGGACGAAAGAAATCAAACCCCCAACATCACTTTGGCGAACAAGCGCCCTGAAACATTGAGATTTGGGGTGTGGGGGTTCAACATTCTTTGGTTCCCAGGGATTGAATATTTTGTCCATCTACTGTCTGGCATCCGTATGTCCTCATTACTTTCTTCTGTCTAAAATGGTTGTTCTTCTTGTCGTGGTTGTTGTTGTTGTTGTTGTTGTTGTTGCTGCTGCTGCTGTTGTTGTTGTTGTTGTTCTTGTTTTTTCTTGTTCCTTTTGTTTTTGTTATTGTTGTTCTTGTTCTTGTTCTTTTTCGTTTTGTTGTCGTTATTGTTGTTCTTGTTCTTGTCCTTGTTCTTCTTGTTGTTGTTGCTGGTGGTGATCACTGTGGTGTCGGTGGTTTTTGTGGCGGTTCTTGTGGCGGCTCTGCTTCCAGCTGTGGCAGCGGTTCATTGATTTCACTGCGCAAACCACTGCTCTGTTTCAAAGATCGATGCTCCACGTGGGTCTCCCGTCCCATGCTTCTCTATTCTCGCAACTTATTCCAAAGGGAAGAAAATATTGTATTTTCACAGGTACATGTGCTGCATGTGTCTCTCGTCCCATTTTTTTCTATTCCCTAATTCGCAACTTATTCAAAAAGGAAAAAAATTTTGATTTTCACAGGTACATGTGCTGCATGTGTCTTTCGTCCCATTTTTTCCTATTCCCTAATTCGCAACTTATTCCAAAATGCACGAAATATTGTGTTTTCACAGGTAAATGTTGCATGTGTCTTTCGTCCCATTTTTTCTATTCCCTAATTCGCAACTTATTCCAAAATGCACGAAATATTGTGTTTTCACAGGTAAATGTTGCATGTGTCTTTCGTCCCATTTTTTCTATTCCCTAATTCACGACTAATCCGTTTGACGTGGCCCTGCCAATGGATTATGTCATTTGAACAGCATGAGACAGTTCCCAACAAAAAAGAGATTCCGTTTCCTTTAAAAAGAGCAGCCACGTCAACAAATGAAATAATCCCGTGACAGGGCCACGTCAAACGGATTAGTCGTGAATTTCGGAATAGAAAAAAATGGGTACGCAAGACCCCCGCCCACCCCCCCACAACCCCCCAGCCCCCCCCCCACAATGCAACATTTACCTGTGAAAACACAATATTTCGTGCATTTTGGAATAAGTTGCGAATTAGGGAATAGAAAAAATGGGACGAAAGACACATGCAACATTTACCTGTGAAAACACAATATTTCGTGCATTTTGGAATAAGTTGCGAATTAGGGAATAGAAAAAATGGGACGAAAGACACATGCAACATGTACCTGTGAAAAAACAGTGTTTCGTGCACTTTGGAATAAGTTGCGAATTAGGGAATAGAAAAAAATGGGACGAAAGACACATGCAGCACATGTACCTGTGAAAAAACAGTGTTTCGTGCACTTTGGAATAAGTTGCGAATTAGGGAATAGAAAAAAATGGGACGAAAGACACATGCAGCACATGTACCTGTGAAAATACAATATTTTCTTCCTTTCTGAATAAGTTGCGAATTAGGGAATAGAAAAAAATGGGACGAAAGACACATGCAGCAAATGTACCTGTGAAAATACAATATTTTCTTCCCTTTGGAATAAGTTGTGCATTAGGGAATAGGAAAAAATGGGACGAAAGACACATGCAGCACATGTACCTGTGAAAATACAATATTTTCTTCCCTTTGGAATAAGTTGCGCATTAGGGAATAGGAAAAAATGGGACGAGAGACACATGCAGCACATGCACCTGTGACAGTGTAACAGCAGCTCACCGTTGTTTGGTCCATGCCGCACCCCGCAGTTGGTACCGTAGATGGACGAAATATTCAAACCTTTGCTATCCGACACAACCCCCTTGCCCCCAAAGTTCAATGTTAATGTAGCTTGAGGTGCATGGGCCCCAGTGGACGAAAGAAATCAAACCCCCAACATCACTTTGGCGAACAAGCGCCCTGAAACATTGAGATTTGGGGTGTGGGGGTTCAACATTCTTTGGTTCCCAGGGATTGAATATTTTGTCCATCTACTGTCTGGCATCCGTATGTCCTCATTACTTTCTTCTGTCTAAAATGGTTGTTCTTCTTGTCGTGGTTGTTGTTGTTGTTGTTGTTGTTGTTGCTGCTGCTGCTGTTGTTGTTGTTGTTGTTCTTGTTTTTTCTTGTTCCTTTTGTTTTTGTTATTGTTGTTCTTGTTCTTGTTCTTTTTCGTTTTGTTGTCGTTATTGTTGTTCTTGTTCTTGTCCTTGTTCTTCTTGTTGTTGTTGCTGGTGGTGATCACTGTGGTGTCGGTGGTTTTTGTGGCGGTTCTTGTGGCGGCTCTGCTTCCAGCTGTGGCAGCGGTTCATTGATTTCACTGCGCAAACCACTGCTCTGTTTCAAAGATCGATGCTCCACGTGGGTCTCCCGTCCCATGCTTCTCTATTCTCGCAACTTATTCCAAAGGGAAGAAAATATTGTATTTTCACAGGTACATGTGCTGCATGTGTCTCTCGTCCCATTTTTTTCTATTCCCTAATTCGCAACTTATTCAAAAAGGAAAAAAAATTTGATTTTCACAGGTACATGTGCTGCATGTGTCTTTCGTCCCATTTTTTCCTATTCCCTAATTCGCAACTTATTCCAAAATGCACGAAATATTGTGTTTTCACAGGTAAATGTTGCATGTGTCTTTCGTCCCATTTTTTTCTATTCCCTAATTCGCAACTTATTCCAAAATGCACGAAATATTGTGTTTTCACAGGTAAATGTTGCATGTGTCTTTCGTCCCATTTTTTTCTATTCCCTAATTCACGACTAATCCGTTTGACGTGGCCCTGCCAATGGATTATGTCATTTGTGACGTGCTGCTTCTTTTTACAAAGAAAAGGAATCTCTTTTTTGTTAGGAACTGTCTCATGCTGTTCAAGTTGACAAATCCATTGGCAGGGCCACGTCAAACGGATTAGTCGTGAATTAGGGAATAGAAAAAAATGGGACGAAAGACACATGCAACATTTACCAGTGAAAACACAATATTTCGTGCATTTTGGAATAAGTTGCGAATTAGGGAATAGAAAAAAATGGGACGAAAGACACATGCAACATTTACCTGTGAAAAAACAGTGTTTCGTGCACTTTGGAATAAGTTGCGAATTAGGGAATAGAAAAAATGGGACGAAAGACACATGCAGCACATGTACCTGTGAAAATACAATATTTTCTTCCTTTTTGAATAAGTTGCGAATTAGGGAATAGAAAAAAATGGGACGAAAGACACATGCAGCACATGTACCTGTGAAAATACAATATTTTCTTCCTTTTTGAATAAGTTGCGAATTAGGGAATAGAAAAAAATGGGACGAAAGACACATGCAGCACATGTACCTGTGAAAATACAATATTTTCTTCCTTTTTGAATAAGTTGCGAATTAGGGAATAGAAAAAATGGGACGAGAGACACATGCAGCACATGTACCTGTGAAAATACAATATTTTCTTCCCTTTGGAATAAGTTGCGCATTAGGGAATAGGAAAAAATGGGACGAGAGACACATGCAGCACATGCACCTGTGACAGTGTAACAGCAGCTCACCGTTGTTTGGTCCATGCCGCACCCCGCAGTTGGTACCGTAGATGGACGAAATATTCAAACCTTTGCTATCCGACACAACCCCCTTGCCCCCAAAGTTCAATGTTAATGTAGCTTGAGGTGCATGGGCCCCAGTGGACGAAAGAAATCAAACCCCCAACATCACTTTGGCGAACAAGCGCCCTGAAACATTGAGATTTGGGGTGTGGGGGTTCAACATTCTTTGGTTCCCAGGGATTGAATATTTTGTCCATCTACTGTAGTAAATATCCAGCTTCTACCTGGGATGCCATGCCAGTAGCCTGCCAGTTGCTTCTCGGTCCCGGCCAGGAGTGCAGACAGCGCCATCTGCCGGGACACCTGGCAATCAGGCATCAGACTCTGGCGACATCAAATCCGCATAAGCCCACTCTGAGTATGTCGATATAGGATTGTAATTTGTGCAATGCTCCACAACCGCATGTTTGGCTGTATTTCTCCCAAATTTCCTACGTTCCCATGATTGGCATGCTGGATGATCATCACCAGAGCGCGCAGAATTTTCATTTCATAAGGGTTCACTGCTTTGCTCTCATCCCCTCTTAGTGTGGCGGTTCATCACTATTCATATACCCTCCTGCTTGGCAATTCGGACATTTTTTATTTTTTGCTGGTTTCTTCACACCTGTGAGCCACTGTCCAGTCAAAAGGGTTGAGTTAGTAGTAGTTCATTCCATTCCAGCATCCCTGCCCGGCCACGCTGCCCAAGCGGCTCTGCATTCCTCATGTTCCTGATTATCCTGACCCTTCGCCGCGCCCTCAGAAGCTTTCAACGCGCAAAAAAACTAAAACGTGACATTGAAGGGTCATATCGTCGCGTTGAAGGGTCAAATTATGGATTATTAATAAATCCCCAATCACATTTCCATTCATAAACCTCTAGTCTAAGTATGGCATTTACATCCTGCTCAGGCCTGACCTTGCTGCTCCTGCTGCCACTGCCTTTCCCACTACAGCACTTGGAGAAGGCTTGGACTTGTCAGTGCTGGGGTCGGTAGTGTTTGTGGTTAATGTTTTTTAATTAATTAATGAAACGCATTCTAGTTTTAGCAGCCCTGCATTGATTGCTTCATTCTTCCATCCCCAGCACTGGCTTGCCCAAGCCGCCCCTGTGCGTTCACTTCGCCTTCTTGTGCTGGTGATGGCAGCTCCTGCTGCTGCCCTGGAAGGGGCATTGGCCGCCATGGAGGCTGCAGACGCTGCTGATCTTGCAGCTGCACCTGCTGCCGAAGCAGCTCATCCTGCCGGCTCCTGCTGCCGAAGCAGCCCACCCTGCTGCAGCAGCCCCTGCTGTGGCAGAAGCTGCCCATGCTGCCAAAGCACCTGTTGGTCCTCCTGATGGCGCGCCATTGATTGAGGACTACAATGAGGCGGAGCATGGAGATGATGCAGATGAGCTGGTGGTGGAAGGGAGATTGGTGCACCAATCTGAAATTGGCTTTGTCCCTGCAGCCCAAGCTGCCCAATCTGCTACTCTCCAGCGCCAGCGAATGGATATCGCAGAGAGCGTGAGGCAAGCTGTTGGCAGCACCTTTGGCTTGCGAATGGAAGGTCTGCTGCTGGGCCAGGAAGAAATCAAGCACCATGCTGTGGCTGGCACCCATGCCCCTGCAATTTTCAATGAAGTCTACGACACGTCCAAAGATTTCTCATGGGCAATGTTCGGATTTAACACCATGGTGTTGAGTTTCTTCCCTGGTGCTGACAAGAACACTATGTCCATGCCCGTCG